CCCCAACTCGGTGTCCCATCTAATTCACGCAATACAAACACGATTGAAATTATAAATTACCATGTAATTGATTGCATGAATAGCCGGTACCCAATCAAACCCCTGGCATAATGTATATGTGTTTGTATTGCGTGAATTAGATGGGACACCGAGTTGGGGGCTAAGAGGGGGGCAGATAACTAGTGAAACTATTCGCACCATAAATACATGTATAGATATATTTATATAAATAAATAATCAATTCAATGAATAATAATAAATATGTGTAAAAAACAATTTATATTTTTCTAGTGATAAGAAAAACTGGATGTTTTGAAAGCGATGTTATACATTGCATGTATATATTGCAAATTTTTAAAATTAACATTTTAGTAAACATTTGCCAAAATTAATGTCATTTTCTGCAATATTTAATCAGTTTTAATCTTAATTTTGAACCATTTTTTATGTCATTTTAAACCACAAAATAACTTTTCTTAGCCATAAGTTTGTGATAAAATTATTGTAAATTTTAGTTTAAAAATATAAATTTTATGCCCAGTATGGATTTACTGTACATTTATTAGCTCTCCAAATATATAATATAGTAAATATACAATAATTCAATACAAAAAATACTATATTAATATTATTTAGTTAACGTATAGTTAGTTAAAAATAAATTTAAAACTTAATTGTATTTTATTTAACTAAAACTTTTAATATTTGTATGAATTTAACACTCAATACAACCAATAGTGACATCAAATGGCAAACCCAGGCACTGCACACATCATTGTAACGCACGTGCGATCGTAACAAAGGCATAACTACATCAAAATAATAGGTGTTTAAATGATATAAACAATACGATTGAGTTAAGCCTTTATTGCACTCACATATACCAGATATGCTATACATTTTGTATACAAAACAAAATCACATGTGTTTTGTGATTGAGTGTAATATTTATCGCAATTAAAACCAAATTAAACCCAAATTATCATAAATAATGACCGAAGAGGACGACGGAGGACAGAGTGCACCGAAGAGAGCGCGAAGTGATGGCCAGAAGGCGAGGCGGAAGAAGTTCTTCGACGGCCAGAAGCGACAAAAGCGGCCAAAAGTTATGCTAACTTTCGATACGGACGACAGAAAATCATTTTTAACCGGTATTTGTTTAGCCCCCACCCCTCCACCCCTTCCCCCCCTCTGTGCTGATCACCACCAACTGATCCCATTGTTTCTCTTACTCTTCGCCCACAGGTTTCCAGAAACGTAAAGCCGAGCGTAAACTGAAGGCCAAACACGTGTTGGACGAAGAGCTCCGGGAGGAGAGGTTGCGGGCGAAGCAGCGCCAGAAGGACCGGCTGTTGAAGCTGTACGACAGTCAACGCCCGACGGCCGACATCGAGGCGATGGCTCTCCCGGCGGAGGCCACCGAAACGTACGAACTGCCCAAACAGTTTGTCAGTATCACCACATTTGATCCCAAAGACATGTCCGGCAGTTTGGGTCTGAGTTTAGGCCATAATACCGATAACAGTGGCGGCGAACAGTCGGCGGTCACCACCAGTGGTGGCCATCAGTCGGACAACTCTGAGGACGACAGTAGCGATAGTGAAGCGAAGAGTACCGCCCGCTCGGCCTCTGAGCTGAGGCAGCAGATACTGGACGCCCGGAAGGCCAACAAAATGGAGGCATTGAAGAGTCTGAAGACGAATAAGGCTTACCAGAGGAGGGAGAAGGAGAAGCACCGGAAGGACGTGTCGTCCGCCAAACAGAAGCGAAAAGAAATGCGAAAAGAGATGAAAAATATGAAACAAAAGACACTTTTGAAGAGACAAATGAAGAACAAGAAGATTAATAAGAGTCGAGAAAGACGGAGACGAAGACCCAAACCCAAGAAGAATAAGTGATTGTCTCGTTTTGTGTCCCGATATTTGTCTGTATTTTTTGTCTCATTATTTGTTTGTTTTATAAATGTTTTTATTGATTGACTCTCGAAATCTTAAAATTATTTGGCAGTGAATTAAATTGTTTTTTACGTAAAAACTTTAAATAAAGGTTTTTAAATACAGAGATTTGCGGCATATCGTTGAGCAGTGACACGGAATGCGCTTTAAGGCCAACCGCTCGGGTCTGTCGGCCGCGGGTCTGCTCTCACCATTGGCCACACCAGTGGACACGCCGTTGCCATTACTGTTCGCCTCTTCGGTCCAATTCTTTGGCGCTGTTGTAAATGCATTGCCGTAATCATAGGTGAGCTCTTCGTACGGTTCGATCGCACGGGTGGTGAACAGCGAAACAGTCGGAAAATGTTTGTTATACGAGCGGACGTATGAGTAGAGGGCGCGGCAGTTGGGTTCGCACGAGTGATTGATAAAACGGCTGACGTTACCGCACTTGTAGGCGTCGATCACATACTCATTGGCCCGATCGTCAACTGTGCCAAACCAGCGCCTCTTCGGCCAAATAGCGTCAAACAAGTAAATGTTGGGCCGTTTGTCGGCCTCTGTCGACAATATGACTTCGCCCGAGTAGTTGGACACGAATGCGCCGCTCGGTATGCGCTCCAGCGCTCCAACCCCTCACAGCCGCGTCCGGCGGCCGATAGATCTGCAGCCGATACTGACGGCCGCGTTGTATCACACGATTGGCGCAATCGGGTCCGCACTTGCACTTATCATTACACTCGAAGATCATTGTGTTAGTGCTTTTATTTAGAATATTCTTCCGGAGCAAATCCTTCCCGTCGTAGACCATCGAGGATTTGTTGCGCGCCGGACAGCACTTTTTCTTATCTTGGAAGCAGTCCTGGCATTCACACGAGTGAATCGTATACTTCTCGGTGTCGGTGGGCGTCAACTTCGGGTACAGTTTCTTATCGTACATACATTTGCCGACGTATCGCTTCAAAACAGGCACTTCCAGGTCGTAATCGTTGGCCACCGATATCTCGACGCCTTCGCCCTTTTCGCGGATCACTTTATTCCACGTGTGGGCTAATCGGGCCAATCCTTTGGCCACATCGGACCGCTGGTCGATGAACTCAAACCATTTCGTCAGCGTCTCGAAGCCATTGTCCCTCAGCCGTAACTGTTTGGCCACAACATTAATCTCTCCCATCGCCCGATACCTCTCGAGGTTTGTCTTGCTTTCAAACTTTAGAGTAAAAAAGTTGCGCACTTTTCCCTCGATCTCTGTCTTAAGATCGATCACTAGCTTCTGATTGGCTCGCAGTTCGGCGACAGTGTGTTTGTGGTCCCACAGGCGGTAGAGTACGGCCAAGTCGTCGAACTCGGGGCTGACCACTTCCTTCAGATATCGGGTAAACGCGTCCAACTCATCCCACGACCACTTCGCCGGGTATCGGCCGTTGACAGTCTCGCTGCGGAACCGTTGCAACAACTCCTGACAGTCGGTGACGTGTGTCCCCAACTTCCAGGTGTTCTCCTTTTCGGGACAGTCTTTCCATTTCAACAGATACTCGATGTGACCGCTTAAGTCGATGCGATGGTCGCGGATCTCTTCCACGCACTTCTTGTCGGCGTTGTTGACGCTCTCCGCGCGCCTCGAAGTCGTCGATGTGTTGATCGCATCACTAATTGGTTCTATCGGTTGACTCTTATTCGGCCACACATTGGACTTTGATTTACTGTTTATAATATTAGTGTCAGTCGTGTCTCGCCATTCATTGGATGTGATTCGAAGATTTGTGATCTTCTCTGCCAACGAGTCATAAACTATTGTCAATTCGTCCTCTTCTTCTTCGAAGTGAATCGTATACTTCTCGGCGTCGGTGGCCGTCAACTTCGGGTACAGTTTCCTGTCGTACACGCATTCGCCGACGTATTGCTCCAATTCAGGCACTTCCAGGTCGTAATCGTTGGCCACCGATATCTCGAGGCCTTCGCGCTTCTTAGCGATCACTTTATTACACGTGTCGTTGAATCGGGCCAATCGATCGGCCACTTCGGGCCGCCGGTCGATGAACTCAAACCAATCGGTAAGCGTTGGGAAACCGTTGTCCTCCAGTTTCAAGCGTTTGGCCACATCTTTGACGGCTTCTATCGCCCGAAGCCTCTCGGAATTATTCCGGGGCTCAAACTTCTGGTCAAAAAAGTTGCCCACTTCCACCTCGATCTCTGTCTTCAGTTTGACCACTAGCTTCTGATTGGCCCGCAGTTCGGCGACAGTGTGTTTGCGGCCCGACATGCGGTAGAGTACGGCTAAGTGGTCGAACTCTTGGCTGACCACTTTCTGCAGATTTCGGGTAAACGCGTCAAACTCATCCCACGACCACTTCGCCGGGTATCGGCCGTTGACAGTCTGGTTGTGGAACCGTTGCAACAACTCCTGACAGTCGGTGACGTGTGTCTCGAACTCCCAGCTGTTCTCCTCTTCGGGATAGTCTTCCCATTTCAAGAAGTACTGGATCTGACCGTTCGGGTGGATGCTATGGTCGAGGATCTCTTCCACGCACTTCATGGCCTCAGCGCCTCCCGATGTCATCGCTGGAAGCGATTCGTTACAAGTGATGGCAAGTTTTGCAATATTCTCTGCCATCGAGTCGTACACTATTTCCAATTCTTCCTCTTCTTTGAGCGCTTCCACGCGCGAGACTCGACAGGAATTGTCGAAATACTCGCACATTTCGTCCTCTGAATCCATGTCTAAGTCGATGTATACGACTCTTTGGTTGGCATTACTCACGAGTGTCTCAGCCGTTGGCGGCGCGCTATTGAGGGGATGTTCCGCCACTCGTTCGCCACTGTCGTCGGTGACCAGCGATGTGTCGCCGGCAGCGCGTCCCACGCCCTCTTCGTCCTCCACTACCACTCTATCCATTGATCTGTGCCTTAAGAGTGAATCACTTTTAGGAACCGTTTTGTTCAAAGTTCAAAAGTTATAAAACTTTATTGTTTTGTGTGAATATATGCCGTTTGGTGTCACCAGTGCTTGTATTGTGTTTCTAGCTTGTAAGTTCGATAATAAAGACATAACTAATTTCAAATAATTCTTGTATTTAGCAAATTCTTTATATACTTTATAATTAATAATTGCGTAAAAAATCATAAAGTTATAAGTTTTGATTAAGTGTAATATTGTCATGACTTGACATATAAATAGCGTTATATTTGTATACGTAATTACCATACGTACCTCTCAATGCCATATATAATACTAACTGTACTGTACACACGTACCCCTTAGCGACAGCCCTGGCCAATCACAAGCCGGTACTATTCTATAGTACCTCAACACTCTCTACCTATTCAAAGGTCAAAGTTATGCACACTTTTGTTCAAAAGTAAACAACTTTACACACAAAATCACAACCGTTACACAACCAGGGGGTGGGAGGGGTGGAGAAAACTATAGAAGGGGACAGAGTTTGTGTCAGTTTTGTACATCAGTTTTACATTTGGATCTAGGGTAAGGGACAATAGAAAACAGCGTTACATATAAAGACGAAACTATGAGAGCTGCTTAGTTTTTGGGGGCGACATGCACTGTACTCTATGGGTAGACTCGTTGATAGACATAGACATCCAAACGACAGACAACTGGGTCTACCCATAGAAAACGTTACCGGGAACTAAGCAGCACTCATAGTTTCGTCTATAATAGGAGGGAGTGTGAAAGGAAACTATAGTCAAAACTATGGAGGGGGACAGAAAACAAGAGTGGGAGAGGGAGTGGTAACAGAGTTTGTTATCAGTGAACAGTTTGCAACTAGCGACACCTGTGGGCTGTAGCTAGTATAATGCAATTCAATGTCTGATTAAGAGTTCAAACGATACCCAAAACAACCAATGAAATTAAAACGTCGCTAATTTTAGCCCATTTTTTTGGTGTTTTAATTGCATTTCATTTTCACATGTCTTAAGCCATTAATGAGTTTTCGTTTGGGTTTTTAATCCCATTTTTACGGCATTTGATTTCATCCACTAATCCATTGGTTTGTCGTAAAAGGCGTTTGTGTTGTGAGTATTGATTGAACGGCTTTTATAATGCGTTTCCTATCAATCATCTGGCCTTTAGATTAGTGTCCACTTTGGCCGCGATGTTCGGACACGACCGCACTCTTAGCACCTCTCACTCGACGGTCATCACGGGGTCCAAAAAACGGAGCACGCCGTACAGTATTTATCGTCCGGTCTCTCACCGATCGGTGACTGTTGTTAAGGATTCATCGCCCGGTAAAAGCCTCCGATTTGCCGAACCCCTGTCGACTACTCGACGGACGGAGCCGAAGCGGACTAAGTCTTCTGAGCGTATCGACAGGCCGTGTCGGCCCACACAACTCGATAGTCTGGTCATTAACCCAATAGACACAACCGACGGCAGCAACTATTGCGCGCACAAAACGGCCGCCATTAGTAACACGTCGTCGATATTCGCGCCAAGCAATGTCTTCGGCGGTGATTGTAAAGCATCGACAGTTGAATCCGTAAACAATTGCTTCCCATCTAAGAGCGAGTCGACCTCTCATTCCGGCCAATTGTCGTCACTCACGGAACCCAAGACTGATGAAGACTGCTATTAATGTACCTAAAAAAACGGTTCATAAGTATGACATGTTTACAGTATTATTTCCTTATTTATTGGTCTTTGATCTTCGGATATCTCATTAGATTAGCGTCCACTTTGGCCGCTATGTTCAAACACGGCCACACTTTTCACACACCGACGGCCACAGCGGCCGAAAGCCACGACCGATCGCCAGCCGCACCGCACGTCTCGCTGTTTACGACGTTGCTTACAGACCCGCTGTCCGTCAGTCCCACGCCATCCGATCTACCGGACGGCGTCTGTTATAACCGTCAGACGCCGAACAGTATCTACCGTCCGGTCTCTCACCGATCGGCGACTGTTGTTAAGGATTCATCGCCCGGTAAAAGCCTCCGATTTGCCGAACCCCTGTCGACTACTCGACGGACGGACCCGACGCGGACTAAGTCTTTTGAGCGTATCGACAGGCCGTGTCGGCCCACACAACTCGATAGTCTGGTCATTAAACCAATAGACACAACCGACGGCAGCAACCATTGCGCGCACAAAACGGCCGCCATTAGTAACACGTCGTCGATATTCGCGGTAAATATAAACATATTCAAAATTAAAATATGAAATCAATGTAGAATTTAACGGAGAATCAGAATATAGTAATATCACATTAGTAAAATTAAAATATTTTTTGTAATTTGTGTAAAACTACCAAAACTTATTAAAATAAGTTATTGCATCACCACCGACAACTCCCGACCAACACCCACGACAATACGACAATTATTACAAGAAACTGAATTTAACTTAAAAAATAATTATTCATTATAATTTATATTTTTCTTCTATTTGAGTACTAATTCATGAATATAGTATAGTTTTCAAAAAATTATTAATATATAACGCCAAAATAACAAACATTGAAATTGTAATTTTTAATTTCAAACATATTTCAAAAACGATATGTCCATATATACAATACAATTGAGTTAAGCTTTTATTGCACTCACATATAGTACATATGCTATACATTTGTATACAAAACAAAATCACATATTTATCGCAATGAAGACTAAATTAAACCCAAATTATGACCGAAGAGGACGGCGGAGGACAGAGTGGACCGAAAAGGGCGCGAAGTGATGGCCAGAAGGCGAGGCGGAAGAAGTTCTTCGACGGCCAGAAGCGACAAAAGCGGCCAAAAGTTATGCTAACTTTCGATACGGACGACAGAAAATCATTTTTAACAGGTATTTGTTTAGCCCCCACCCCCTCCCCCCTCTGTGCTGATCACCACCAACTGATCCCATTGTCTCTCTTACTCTTCGCCCACAGGTTTTCAGAAACGTAAAGCCGAGCGTAAACTGAAGGCCAAACACGTGTTGGACGAAGAGCTTCGGGAGGAGAGGTTGCGGGCGAAGCAGCGCCAAAAGGACCGACTGTTGAAGCTGTACGACAGTCAACGGCCGACATCGAGGCGATGGCTCTCCCGGCGGAGGCCATCCAAACGTACGAACTGCCCAAACAGTTCGTCAGTATCACCACATTTGATCCCAAAGACATGTCCGGCAGTTTGGGTCTGAGTTTAGGCCATAATAACGATAACACTGGCGGCGATCAGTCGGCGGTCGCCACCAGTGGTGGCCATCAGTCGGACTCCGAGGCGGACAGTAGTGATAGTGGTGTGAAGAGTACCGTCCGCTCGGCCTCTGAGCTCCGGCAGCAGATACTGGACGCCCGGAAGGCCAACAAAATGGAGGCACTGAAGAGTCTGAAGACGAATAAGGCTTACCAGAGGAGGGAGAAGGAGAAGCACCGGAAGGACGTGTCGTCCGCTAAACAGAAGCGAAAAGAAATGCGAAAAGAGATGAAAAATATGAAACAAAAGACACTTTTGAAGCGACAAATGAAGAACAAGAAGATTAATAAGAGTCGAGAAAGACGGAGACGAAGACCAAAACCCAAGAAGAATAAGTGATATCTCTATTTGTGGTCTCTTTTTATGTCCCGATATTTGTCTGTATTTTGTTTCTCATTATTTGTTTGTTTTATAAATGTTTTTATTGATTAGCTCTCGAAATATTAAAATTATTTGGCATTGATTTGCAATTGAAAAACAATTCAATTGTTTTTTACGTATAAACTTTGGTTTTTAAATACAGAGATTTGCGGCAATACTTTGAGCCGCAGTTACAGTCAATGCGCTTTAAGACCAACCGCTCGGGTCTGTCGGCCGCGGATCTGCTCTCACCGCCACCATTGGCCACACCAGTGGACACACCGTTGCCATTACTGTCCGCCTCTTCGGTCAAATCTATTGTTGTATTAAAGCTATGGTCAGCGCTGGTCACCGATTGGCTGTCATCGGCAGCGGGTCTGCTCTCACCGCCACCAGTGGTTACATCATTAGCCACACCATTGGATACGCCATTACTCACGCCATTCGCCACACCATTACAATTGCCAGTACTGTCCGCCTCTTCGGTCACATTCGTTGGCGCTGTTGTAAATGCATTGCCGTAATCATAGGTCAACTCTTCGTACGGTTTGATCGCACGGGTGGTGAACAGGGAAACAGTCGGCAACTGTTTGTTATCCGAGTTGATGTATGAGTAGAAGACGGCGCAGTTGGGTTCGCACGAGTGGTTAATGAAACGGCTGACGTTACCGCACTTGTAGGCGTCGATCACATACTCATTGGCCCGATCGTCAACTGTGCCAATCCAGCGATTCATCGGCCAAATAGCGTCAAACAAGTAAATGTTGGGCCGTTTGTCAGCCTCTGTCGACGATATGACTTCGCCCGAGTAGTTGGACACGAATGCGCCGCTCGGTATGCGCTCCAGCGCTCGCACCGCCCAACCCCTCTCAGCCGCGTCCGGCGGCCGATAGATCTGCAGCCGATACCGACGGCCGCGTTGTATCACACGATTGGGACAATCGGCGCCGCACTTGCAGTTCCGGTTACACTCGAAGATCATTGGATTATTGATTTTATTTAGAATAGTCTTCTGGAGCAAACCCTTCCGGTCGTAGATCATCGGAATACCGGGTGGAGTACAGCACTCGTCCTGTTGTTTGAAGCAGTCCTGGCATTCACACGAGGGAATCGTATACTTCTCGGCGTCGGTGGCCGTCAACTTCGGGGTCTCTCTGCTGTCGTACACGCATTCGCCGACGTATTCCTCCAATTCAGGCACTTCCAGGTCGTAATCGTTGGCCACCGATATCTCGAGGCCTTCGCCCGTTTCGGTGATCTCTTTATTACATTTGTTGACGAATCGGGCCAATCGTTTGGCCACTTTAGACCGCTGGTCGATGAAATCAAACCAATCGGTAAGCGTTGGGAAGCCGTTGGCCGCCAGCCGTAACTGTTTGGCCACATCTTTGACGGCTTGCATCGCCCGATTCCTCTCGAGGTTTGTCTTGCGTTCAAACTTCTGGACAAAAAAGTCGCGCACTTTTGCCTCGATCTCTGTCTTAAGAGTGACCACTAGCTTCTGATTGGCTCGCAGTTCGGCGACAGTGTGTTTGTGGTCAGACATGCGGTAGAGTACGGCCAAGTCGTCGAACCCGTGACTCACCACTCGCTTCAGGTATTTAGTAAACGCGTCCAACTCATCCCACGACTCCTTCGGCGGGTGTCGGCCGTTGACAGTCTCGCTGTCATTAGTGTCAGCCGTGTCTCGCGATTCATTGGATGTGATTTCAAGATTGACGATCGCCAGCGATTCCCACACTATTGCCAATTCTTCCTCTTCTTCTTCTTCTACCAAAGCGTAACTTTTAGCCGACTTTTTGGTCACACTTTTTGGGTTCCGTTTTGGCATCGTTTCAAACAACTCAAGCAAATAATGAACAAAATTAAGTTCACAATTAACTGAATGTGTTGTTGAGGTCACTGTGAATGCTAGAGTGGTGTGCTTTGTGTGTGTGGACTCACAGTATAGTGAAATTTTTAGTTCACTTAGCAAAGAGAGGTTAGAAGAGAGGGTTATTCACAGTATAGATAGTGTAAAAGGAGTATCTCTTAGGGAAAAATATCACAAGTTTTAACGTTTGTTTTGCACTCACAAGACATCACATAGAGTAGGTCCCAAGCATAAGACTAACCAATCAGTGTGAAGGCTATTGGCATTAATTATCACCAATATAAAAACAATGTAATTTTGTTCACCCTTTTTGTCACCAAGGTGCTAAAAATCATTGTGCTGCTATGCTATGCTAAGAAAATCTGCTGATAATCCTGGTTAAAATCAATTGTTACTCCGGTGTGTAGTCAGACTGTCCGGCGTCAGTGGTGGCGATTAGCGAGGATTACGGATTAGTGTTGACGTATATAAATGTTTTTATAGATTATTAAACGTGGTTTAATTGAAATATAGACGTTTGGTTTTTGTTATTTGATTTATCATTTATTTAAAAATTCAAAAGTTTTTGATAATTACAAAACAGCGTTACAGAGCTTTTTATGGCAACAATTGATTACTAAACTCTTTGGTATATAACATGGTATTAATTATCTTACGATAAGCTCTTAAAAACACATTTTATTTGCCATTAATTAAAAATTTAGAAACAATTAAATTCATTGTTTTATTTGTAAAAAAATTTGGTTTTTATATAAGAAACTTAAAGTGAAGCGTAAAATGCATAATACAATCAAATCAAACGTTATAACTTATAACAATTATAGTTAGCATTCATAATGTAATGTTTAATAGTGTATACCTCTGTATAATAAACAGCGGTTTTAATGATATCATATTTATTGATATGTGAATATCAATGGTATTTAAAGCAATGGAGTATTGAATGAAATTTCAAAAATAAGTCATAAAAACATATTAAAGCACTTGAATTGACAGATATATTGAAATGTTAAATACAGTTTAAACAAATAGATAATTACGGTATAAGTAAACGTAACTCTCAATAGTGGACACCAATGAGTAAAACATGCGTCCATTGCGTACACTATTGAGACGATTGAACACATCGTTGAGAGAGATTCAAGAGTAGAGATATTTGCGGCAATATTTTGAGCCGCAATGACATTCAATGCGCTTTAAGGCCAACCGCTCGGGTCTGTCGGCCGCGGGTCTGCTCTCACCGCCACCATTGGCCACACCAGTGGACACGTCGTTACCATTACTGTCAGCCTCTTCGGTCAAATCTTTAGTTGTATTAACGCTATCGCCAGCGCCGCTCACCGATTGGCTGTCATCGACGGCGCTCCTGTCGTGCGTATTCTTCAGGTAACTGCCGTAATCAATGGTCAACTCTTCGTACGGTTTGATGGCACGGGTGGTGAAGAGGGAAACAGTCGGCAGGTATTCGTTATCCGAGTGGATGTATGAGTAGAAGACGGCGCAGTTGGGTTCGCACGAGTGATTGATGAAACGGCTGACGTTACCGCACTTGTCGGCGTCGATCACGTACTCATTGGCCCGATCGTCAACTGTGCCAAACCAGCGACTCATCGGCCAAATCGCTTCAAACAAGTAAATGTTGGGCCGTTTGTTAGCCTCCGACGACGATACGACTTCGCCCGTGTAGTTGGACACGAATGCGCCGCTCGGTATGCGCTGCAGCGCTCGCACCGCCCAACCCCTCACAGCCGCGTCCGGCGGCCGATAGATCTGCAGCCGATACCGACGGCCGCGTTGTATCACACGATTGGGACAATCGGCGCCGCACTTGCATTCGGTACACTCGATGATCATTGGGTTTTCGATTTCATTGAGAATATCATCGCGAAGTAAACCCTTCTGGTTGTAGACCATCGGGAAACTGGCGGTTCGCGACGGACAACACGTTTTCCGGTCTTTGAAACAGTCGTCGCATTCGCACGACTTGATCGTCGACTTCGGGAACAGTGACTTGTCGTACACGCATTCGCAGACGTATTGCTCCAATACAGGCACTTCCAGGTCGTAATCGTTGGCCACCGATATCCGGACGCCTTCGCGCTTCTCAGCGATCACTTTATTACACTTGTCGGCGAATCGGGCCAATCGTTTGGCCATTTCGGACCGCCGGTCGATGAACTTAAACCAATCGGTAAGCGTCTCGAAGCCGTTGTCCTTTAGCCGTAAAATAATGGCCACCCCTTTGACGGCTCGCATCGCCCGTTGTCTTTCTTGATTATTCGTTTCAGGCTTCAGGCGGTCAAACTTCAGGCTTAAAAAGTGGCCAATATTTGTCTTCATCTGATTCTTCAATTGTCTCACGAGCTTCTTATTGGCCCGCAGTTCGTCTACACTGTGTTTGTGGTCCGACAGGCGGTAAAGCGCGGCCAAGTCCTGCAACCCGTTGCCGACCGCCCACTTCACGTAATCGACAAACTTGTCGAACTCATCCCACGATGACTTCACTGGGTATCGGCCGTTGACAGTCTCGCTGCGGAACCGTTGCAACAACTCCTGACAACCGGTGACTTGTGTCTCAAACTGCCAGCTGTTCTCCTCTTCGCCATAGCCTTCCCATTTCAACAGATACTGAGTCTGACCGCTAGAGTCATCCACTCGATGGTCGAGAATGTCTTCCACGTAGTACTCGCCGGCGGGGATCGCGGCCTCCGCGGCCGCAGTCGTCGAGTCGTTAGCCGTGTCTCGCGATTCATCGGATGTGATGCGAAGATTTGTGAAATCCTTTTCCAGCGAATCATAAACTATTGCCAACTCTTCCTCTTCTTCTTCTACTGAAGTCGACTCTTTGGCAGACTTTTTGTTCACCACATGTTTGGTCACATTATTTGTGCTCAAATGTGTGCCTGAATTACATTTAAGACTATTGAACATCACATCCAATGCGTGATCACTCGTGTCTGCACTCATATCACTGTTGATCACCTGATTTGTGTCCGCATTAGCAGACAATTCACAATTTAGAGACATTTTATGCGAATTAAACACAATGTTTGATAAGAAATAGTTATTTAATGGTTAAAAGTCAACGTTTTTTTAAGCAAAACAACTTTTAAAACAAAAGTACTTTTTCTACAAAAGCATAATAAAAAGCACAAAAAGCACACAAAATGCATGCAATACTGTACTAATGTATTGTGTGTTGTATAACATTATACTGTATGTAAATTTATTTTATACATGTTTTTATGGATTATTAAACGTTGTTTAATTGAAATATTGACGTTTGGTTTGTTATTTGATTAAAAATTTATGATTTATTTAATAATTAAAGTTTTCGATAATTACAAAACAGCGTTACAGAGCTTTTTATGGCAACAATTGATTACTAAACTCTTTGGTATATAACATGGTATTAATTATCTTACGATAAGCTCTTAAAAACACACTTTATTTGCCATTAATTAAAAATTTAAAAAACAATTAAATTCATTGTTTTATTTGTAAAAAAACTTTGGTTTTATATAAAAAAAACTTAAAGTGAAGCGTAAAATGCATTATAAAATCAAATGGTATAACAATTATAGTTAGCATTAATCGTGATGTTTATAGTGTATACCTCTGTATAATAAACTGCGGATTTAATGACATATGAATTTCAATGGTATTTAAAGCAATGGAGTATTGAATAAAATTTCAAAAACAACTCATAAAAACATATTAAAGCACTTGAATTGACAGAATAATTGAAATATTAATAACAAATAGTGAATTACGGTATAAGTAAACGTAACTCTCAATAGTGGACAACAATGAGTAAAACATGCGTCCATTGCGTACACTATTGAGACGATTGAACACATCTTTGAGAGAGATTCAGGAGTAGAGATATTTGCGACAATATTTTGAGCCGCAATGACATTCAATGCGCTTTAAGGCCAACCGCTCGGGTCTGTCGGCCGCGGGTCTGCTCTCACCGCCACCATTGGCCACACAATTAGATACACCACTGGTCTCGCCATTGACCACACCATTGGATAAGCCATTACTCACGCCATTAGACACCCCATTCGTCACACCATTACAGTTGCCATTACTGTCCACCTCTTGGGTCACATCCATTGTCGCTGTTTTATAGCTATCGCTAGCGCTGCTCACGGATTGGCTGTCGTCAGCGCCGCTGAAGTCGTACATATCGATGAGTTGATTGCCGTAATCATAGGTGAGCTCTTCGTACGGTTTGATCGCACGGGTGGTGAACAGCGAAACAGTCGGCAACTGTTTGTTATACGAGCGGACGTAT